CAGTGATGTCATCATAATTCACTGCAACCTCTAACTGCTAGGCTCAATCTTCCCACTTCAGCCTCTCTAGTAGCTGGGACTACAGTTAACATGGCACCACACCTGGCTAATTTTTCTGTTTTTTTGTAAGGAGGTCTTGCTTTTGCTCACAGGTCTCAAACTCCTGAGCTGGAACATCCTACTGCCTTAGCCTCCCAGAATGTTAGGAGTGCAGGTGTGAGGTTTCTGGTTTCTTTAGATCAACTTTGAGAAGAGTATCCATGTTATAGTTAGTATAGTATAATATTGTTGCAACATATTATTCTACTGTGATGACTATACTACAATTTATACTTCTATTTCCCGTTTTCATTATTACTAACAATGCTTTTCTGCAAATTTGCGTGGATCTGCAGGTACACAGAGTGTATAAACCTTTAATGTGACAATATAGTGCTGGCCTGTTTTCTAAGTTGGTTCTGTCAGTTAAGATTTCCCACCAGCAGTCTTTGAGGGTTCCTTTTGCCAAGCAGTTTGCATTGCCAGTTTGGTGTGTGTCTGGTTGTGTTGGTTGAGTACCATGTCATATTTTTGGTTATTTGGATATGATATTTTGCCTTTGTTATAGTGTTGTTCAAGTCTTTTGTCCATTTTTGTATTAGATTATCTATCTTCCTTACTGATTTGTAGATGTCTTTATTATTCTACATGTGTATATCTAGATATAGTCATCTTGTAAATACGTTCTGATTCTGTGACTTGTGTTTTTTTGTTGTGGTCTCTTCTGTTCCACTCATTAATCTTCTCTAGACACAGAAAATCCATGTAAGTCGAAAGCACAAGAAAGATGGTAGGAATAAATACAAATAATTAGTCAATCTATCAAATAAAAAATGAATTAAACTTACCTTTTAGAAAGGAACGGTTGTTACATTGGATGACCACTTAAAACATAAGAAATCAGAAAAGTTGAAAGTAAAAGATGGGAAAAAGAATTACCAGCCAAATTCTGAGAGCCCTACATTTATATGGGAAGGAATAGATGTTTCAGTTCAACCCCAGACTTTGCTATGTCTAAGTTCTCTCTCTTTCTGTCCCCTAGTGGTTGTTAAAACTTAAAGCCCTAGATTGCAGAGATTTCCACCCTCATGGCAGCCATGTCCTTTACTTCATTCTGCTACTGGGAATTTTCTTTACTCTATTGTAGGTTCAGCCATGTAATTGAAAGTAATTTTCAATATTGAATCTAGCACATTTTCAGCATTTGTTTGGATGTTTCCCCCCTCATTTTTAGTCTGCACTGTGTTTTGTCTGCAGTGTTAGTCTTTCATAGGGTTTTAAGAACGTAAGAACCTACACTTTGGACCAGGATTGGTAATGAAGGCTTGTGGTCCCAGCTACTTGGGACACTGATTTGGGAGGATCATTAGAACCCAGAACTTTGAGGCTGTAGTGAGCTATGATCATGCCATTATAGCCCATCCTAGGTGACTGACCCAAATCTTATCTCTCAAAAAAACCCAACACAAACAAACAAACAAACAAAACACCCTCTGAGAGACCCTTAAAAATGTCAAGTGACTGCCTGTAGACAGTGGGTATTCTGGGTTATTATATTCGCATGCATTTTTCATATTTCTGCAAAAGAGCACATATTTCATAACTTTTTAAACTTTAAAGAGGAAATTGTCCTTACGATTCTCCAAGTAATAGCACTTCTTTTCCATTTGTTGCAGGTGGTGCGGTTGTGTCAGAACCCAAAGCTGGCGCTAAAGAATAGCCCACCTTATATCTTAGACCTGCTGCCAGATACCTACCAGCATCTCCGTACTATCTTGTCAAGATATGAGGGGAAGATGGAGACACTTGGAGAGAATGAGTATTTTAGGGTGTTCATGGAGAATTTGATGAAGAAAACTAAGCAGACCATAAGCCTCTTCAAGGAGGGGAAAGAAAGAATGTATGAGGAGAATTCTCAGCCTAGGTAATGGAGAAATGCTACACAAATATTAATGCAGGTCTGTGGACTGCCTGAGTGGCTAACACATAGCAGTAGAGGCATTGGTTTAATTTTATATTGACAGGAATAGAAAGTTGATATTTGATTTAAAAGTGTGCTTTATATAAAAGGTTGCCCGATAGATTTGTTTATTTCTGAAAAACCAGACTTACAGTCATGAAAATGAGTCAGAGGCAGTAGATCTTTTGGAGACCCTGAAGATCATGAAATAAGAGGCAGGTTTTGCCAGAAGCTGTCGCATACTAGATAAATTTTGAGCATGGGATTGTAGAAGAAATAAGCCAGTAGTATAGATGGCTTGTTAATAAATCAAGGTGAAATGACATTTCCCTTATAGATAAAAGTAACTTAAAATAGAAAAGGCAGAGGCAAATGGAGTTAATTCAATAAGGAGTTGAAGGACCGTTACGTATTCTTCTGTACTCATTACATACTAAAAATCGCAGGGTACCCTACATGTCATTAGGGTGGCTATTGTAAATTACATACGGGGAAAGAAATTAGTTAACTGTATGTGTGGATGTAATTGTGTTTGATTTTGTCCAGTAGGAAATAGAAACTTATCTAGAATAAGTAATAAAACACGATTTTTAGGCCAAGAGTGGTGGCTCACGCCTGTAATCTTAGCACTTTGGGTGGCCAAGATGGGTGATTGCTTGAGCTCAGGAGTGTGGAAAGCACCTGTAGTCCCAGCTACTGGGGAGGCCAAGGAAAAGGATCACTTGAACCCAGGAGTTTGAGGTTGCTGTGAGCTAGACTGATGCCACGACTCTAGCATGGGACAATAGAGTGAGACCCTGTCTTAAAAAAACAAAAATAAAAATTTCAGGGGTGCGCCTATGGCTCAGTGAGTAGGGCGCCGGCCCCACATACCAAAGGTCACGGGTTTGAACCGGCCCCAGCCAAAATGCAACAATAAACAAAAAAAAGCCAGGCGTTGTGGTGGGTGCCTGTAGTCCCAGCTACTCAGGAGGCTGAGGCAAGAGAATCGTCTAGGCCCAAGAGCAGGAGGTTGCTGTGAGCTGTGACACCATGGCACTCTACCAAGGGTGACAAAGTAAGACTCTTGTCTATAAAAAATAAAATAAAAAAAAGATTTCACTAGAATTTTGGAGTGAATAAGTTACTCTCAAGGAGTGACTTGAAATTGGGAGGGACAGTCATTTCTAAAGGCATTCATTGTTTACTATGTGTGACTCCAGCAGTAGTAACCTACTGAATGATACTCTTGTCTACTTTCCTTTAGACTAGTCTCTCACTTATTACCATGTTATTACCTTGACTGCAATGCATTACTCAGGTTCAGTGTAGGATATCAGTCTTTCTTCTTAAAAAGATTTCCGGTGAATGAATTCAATGTGTAGGAACCTTTGTAACTTTTAGTTTATGTGAAAATGAACTTTATTTCTTTTAAATATTTGAATTTCAGACTGCGTGTGGTGGTTCATGCCTATACTCCCTGTGATTTGGGAGACTGAGGTTGGAAGATCGCTGTAGGTCAGACGTTTGAGACCAGCCTGGCAACATAGGGAGACTCCCCATCTGTAGGTAAAAATAGAAATCAACCAGGAGTAGCATCTCTTAAGTCCAGGGTTAAGGAGGTGTACAATTAGTGAGGTTGCAATTAGTGAGCTGTGATCAAACCACTATGCTCCGGCCTGGGACTACAGAGTGAGACCCTGTCTGTAAAAATAATAAATAAATAGATATATTTTGTATCTTTTGTTAAAATAAAACCTTGACTATATGGAACACTTAGCTAACAAGTCATTTTATATTGCTGAGTTTCTAACAAATCTGAAATTGTGTCTAATTCTAGGAGGTAAAGAGAATTAAGCATTCAAGTTTGTCACGTTACAAGTGCTTTAAAAGGAGGTGTGTACAAAATACTGTGTGGACAGTTTTGCCTAATGGCATCAGAGAAGGTGGCATAGAGCTGCGGTCCCCCAACCTCTGAGCCGTGGACCAGTAGTAGGCCCAGTAGGATGTGACAACACAGCAGGTGGTGAGTGAGATGAGTGCCGGCAAGCAAGAAGAGCTTCATGAGTGTTACAGATGTTCTCCGTTGCTCCCATCACTGCCGAAGCTGCTTCTCCTGTCATATAAGTGGTTCATTAGATTCTCATAGTGCAAACCCTCCTATAAGGTGCACGTATGGGGCATCCAGGTTGCATTCTCCTTATGAGAATCTAATGATCTGAGTGGAGATGTAATGTGCCTGAGTCATCCTGAAACCATCCCCCCACGCTCTGATCAGTGGAAAAGTTGTCTTTCCATGAAACTGGCCTCTGGGTGCCAAAATGGTTGGGTACTGCTGGCATAGAGGAGTGTTATTTGAACTGGATTTTGAAGGATAAGTAGGAATTATCTAGGTAGAGAAGTTAAGAAAAAGCCTTTAACACAGTGGCATGAAAATGTAGACTCTATAGTTTAAGGAGCATGAGAAGTCTGGTTTGACTAGAATATCTGGAGATAAGCTGGAAATACAGGTTGGAGTCAGATTGTGAAGGGCTGTTCTTTGACCTGTAGATTTTGTCCTGTGGGTGATAAGCTGTCTTAGAATAGGTTTTTGTCTTTTGTGTGTGTGTGTGTTTGTTTTGAGACAAGTCTCACTCTGTTGCCCCAGGCTAGAGTGCTGTGGCATCAGTCTAACTTACTGCAACCTCAAACTCTTGGGCTCTAGTGATCCTCCTGCCTCAGGCTCTTGAGTAGCTGGACTATAGGCGTCCACCACAATGCCCAGCTAATTTTTCTACTTTTGGTGGAGATAAGGCTTTGCTCTTACTCAGGCTGTTCTTGAACTCCTGAGCTCAAGCTGTTCTCCTGCTTTGGCTTCCCAGAGTGCTAGGTTTATAGGCATGAGCCCCCTTGCCCAGCTTTAGAACAGCTTTTTAAAATTTTTTATTTTTGAGACAGAGTCTCAAGCTGTCACCCTGGGTAGAGTGCCATGGTGTCACAACTCACAGCAACCTCATCTCTTAGGCTTAAGTGATTCTCTTGCCTCAGCCTCTCAAGTAGCTGGGACTACAGGTGCCCAGCACAACACCCAGCTGTATTTTTTTGTTGTGGTTGTCATTGTTGTTTAGCAGCCTTGGTGTATGTGGCCGGCGCCCTACCCACTGAGCTATGGGTGCTGAACCAGAACATTATTTAATTTTTTAATGATTGATGGTTTCTTGCTAAGAGCCAACGTAGTGTACTGGTTATAAGCAGATGGACTGAAGCCAACTGCCGAGTTTGAGTCTTTTGTCACTTACTTTAGCTATATGATGCCTCAGTTTCTTCTTCTGCTTCTTTTTTTTTTTTTTTTTTTTGAGACAGTCTCACTATGTTGCCCTCAGTAGAGTGATGTGGCATCACAGCTCACAGCAACCTCCAACCCTTGGGCTGAAGCAGTTCTCTTGCCTCAGCCTTCCAAGTAGCTGGGATGACTGGGACTACAGGCACCTACCACAATGCCCAGCTATTTTTTGTTGCAGTTGTCATTGTTGTTTAACTGGCCCAGGCTGAGTTTGAACCTGCTGCCCTTGGTGTATGTGGCTGACACTGTAACCACTGTGCTATGGGTGACAAAACCCTCAGTTTCTTCTTTAAAATGAAATAGTAGTAGTACTTTTTCCTTTTAGGAATCTTGGGGGTTAATGAATACTTGGAATAGTGTTTGGCACATTGAAAGTGGTAAAGTAGGTTAACTCTTGTTACTTTTTTTGTTTTTTGAGACAGAGTTTCACTTTATTGCCCTCAGTAGAGTGCTATGGCGTTATAGCACATAGCAACCTCAAACTCTTGGGCTCAGTCGATGCTCTTGCCTCACTCTCCCGAGTTGCTGGGACTACAGGCACCCGCCAGAATGCCTGGCTATTTTTTTTAGAGATGGGGTCTTGCTCTTACTCAGGCTAGTCTCTAACTCCTGAGCTCAAGGTATCCCAGAGTGCTAGGACTATAGGCATCAGCCAGCGTGCTCAGCCAACTGATGTTACTCTTAATCATCATCATTATTTTTATTGCTATAGATGTAGCTTATTGTATCGAGTTATGTATCAGTGATACTGTCAGGTTCTAATGAAGTATGTAGTTCACCTTTACTAAATTTATATCTTTTTTATTTGCCCTTATTAAATGTAAGTATATAATATATAAAATAGTAAATGTAAGTATGGTTGACCCTTGAACAATGCAGAGGTTAGGGGTGCCAACCCCCTGTATAATCAAAAATCTGAGTATAACTTTTGAATCCCCCAAAACTTAACTATTGGTAGCCTATTTGTGACCCTAGAGGCTTGTTGATAACTTAAACAGTTGATTAACGTGCATTTTGTATATCAGTATTATATACTGTATTCTTACAGTAAAGTAAGGGGGCAAAGCTGGAAATGGAGTCATGCTCTGTTGCCGCATCTAGAGTGCAGCGATGTGATCAGAGCTCACTGTTAACCTCCAAGTCCTGGGCTCAGGTGATCCTCCCATCCTGGCCTCCCATAGTTCTGGGACTGCAGACATGAGCCATGGTGCCCAGCCTTTCACTTCTTTTTAAACTTCACTGTTCAGTATGCCTGTTTATATCAGTTTTATTTCCCCTAATATAAGGCATTTAAGCCTTTGAATTTTGGATATGGGCTTTTAAAACAGTTTTGGTCAAATTATATGTAAAGTGAGAAGAAATATATTTCAGATGAGAATTTTTTTTTTCTTTTTGAGACAGAGCCTTACTTTGTCACCTTCGATAGAGTGCTATGGTGTCATAGCTCACAGCAACCTCAAACTCTTGGGTTCAAGAGATCCTCTTGCCTCAGCCTTCCAAATAGCTGGGAATACATGTCACTGTGCTGGTTTTTCTGTTTTTAGTAGAGACAGGGTCTTACTCTTGCCCAGGCAGGTCTTGAACTCCTGAGCTCAGTCTACCTGCCTCTGCCTCCCAGAGTGCTAGGATTATAGGCCTGAGCCACCAAGCCCAGCTGAGAATC